GGATGCCAGTGGCATTTTCTTTGGCCGCGATGACGCGAGCCCGACATGGCTAGAGATCCCATTGGAAACAAGGCATGGGACGCAAAGTTTGCCAAGTGGACCCAGGCGGTCAATCATTGACCTTCGAAGCGTGGAGGGTGGAGGAACGATATCGAGACCAAGTTCCACATTACTTCCGTTCGACAGCAGAACGGGAAGTGGCTTCGTGCCTGATGCTCTGGCCCTGCCAGCACTTCATTGAGAACTGGTGGCGGACCCCAGCCACAAAAAACAAGGGGCCGATTCTCCGAGCATGTGAAACGACGAAACTAAGTAATCCCCAAGAAACGTCCCAACCCCCAAATCCAAGCAGGGTCAGGGAGTTCAGGGTTGAGGCTGAAGGCCCCAAGCGCACTCCAAGCCAACTTTTACATCATATGAAAGGCCCTAGGGCATAGTCTGACTGCCCTAGGTCATTGATGCGAGCATCGTCGACTTCATGGAGGCTTGGCATGTTCTCATGGCACTGGCTTTCATGCTGCGTGTTTCCCTGGATCAAGGCGATAATGACACCCCCAATTTATTTTGGTAAGTGTACAAGTACACGGTTTAGGGTTTAGGATTTAGGGTTAAGGGTTATGAAAGTCCTGTGCCAGATTTAGATCTGATTTGTAGCATGTTGGCCATAAATCACAGCTACAGTGAAAGACAAATCACGCCATATCTTAGTCTTCAGACATGGGCAATCCAAGCCTTGATGCTGCTCTTCGGTTGAGGCAATTTTGTTCCCAATTAAGCCTGGCCCTCAAATGCTGTTGGACACAAAAAATGTAGTAGGATGCTTGGAAATCCACTAAATCAGGGAAATCAATTCCATTGCACGTCCATCTGATGAGGTTCACTGCATCCTGAAGGTTCTGGGCCAGGAGTCCGCGCCTTGGCCTCGTCCCCAAGTAAGCGTCGTGCTGCTGTACTACTGTGGTGCTGCAAGAGTACCCTTGCTTCGTGAGCCTGTGGGCAGTGAAATTATTAAACTGTGGTGCTGAAGCGTACCTATTCTGCATGCGCACTGCAGCACTGATCAGAGCCAGTGCTGGGCTTTGATGTGGGGGGACTATTGCTCGCCCCAAGGATCTGTCCTCGACTTGGCCCTGCCTCTCAACATGAGTTCTTGCCTGAGCAGTCATTTTTTCGAAATCGTCGTTTGGCTTTCAATCTCTCTGGTGCAGAGGTACATGTGAAATCTTGGCCATGTCATTGCATGAGGCTACAGACTTTGCTGTCCAAAAAGCACATTCAAGTCTTATCTTTAGTGCCGGGTGATTCTTCTGCTGCTCCCAGAAAACTCAGCTCCAACCAAACTATATAACCCCAAAACCACAAGCCCATCGCTAAGAGTAAGCAGAGGAAAGAGAAGGGGGCACGAGCAGTGAATATCAAACATTCTCATATTCTACATAATGAAAGGCCCCCTTGCTTGGTTCATGACAATGCTTTAGGCTTGTTGGGAATGGCCCAGGTCATGAGCTCGCTCGGGAAGCTGGGGATGGCGCCAGTGACCCGGCCTCAGTGCTTCATCTTTCTTCCATCACAGTCGCCTTGTATCTGACAGCTGCTTGCACGTTGCCTAGTCTGCTTGGAAGATGGCTTTTGGAACATCTGTACCCGTCCGGCATTCAAGCCCCATGCTGTGGGTTCTCAAAGCAGAAGCATTTGGCGCGCAATCATCAGAACATCTTGCAACTGCAGGGCAACTCAGGCTTTTTATCTCTTATCATCTCTTAACTCTCAAGTTGATACGTCCAGGTTGTGGGTTGAGGATTTCTAAGACTGCCTCTGTTCCAACATGGCTGGCCATTGGGGGCAAGACTCGTCATGGGATGGCTGGTACTGGAGTGAGACACTGGGAAGATACGCCCGGTCTGGCCAGCTTGGGCAAGAGACTATTTTTCGCCAGTGGAGGAGCCAAGCACAGAGGCGGCGGAGGCACCTCCGCCTCCGCCACCACCTCCGCTTCCTCCTCCTGCACGCAGGGCCACCTCCTGGAGTTCCTGAACCTCCAGGGCCACCTCTCCTCTTCTGCTGGGCCTTCTCAGCCTGCTGCCACTGCGGCGCCCAAGCAGGCTGCTGCACCCAAGCCTGGGAAAGGCAGTGCTGTCCATACTCCGAAGAAGGAGATTGACCCGGAGGTGCAGGAACTGATTTCAAGGCATCAGGAGGAGGCAAAGAAGAGCGGCAATCGATGCGAATTCAACCAAAAGATGCTCGATGCGAAGGAGACAGCGAGGCAGCTGCACGAGGCGCAACTGGCGTCTGGGCTTCTGCAGGCCAAGGTAGAGATGGAGAAAAGGGAGGCTGCCAACTTCGAGGCCTTCCAGCTGTCGTTGCCCAAGGATGGCTGAGTGAGATGGATGCGCAGAAGCTTCGCCTGGATGAAGCTGCTGCAAAGGACAAGGAAGCTGCCCTGGAGTCTCAGGCGGAAGTCTTCAACAAGCAGCAGAAGGAGAAGCAGGATGAGTACGACAAGGAGATCTCAAGGTTGCAGAAGTCTATCGAGTATTGGAAGAAGTCCGCCATGGAGTGGAAGAACATGAAGCTCCAAGACGTTCAGGACTTTCGGATTCTTTTGGTGGATTGAGTTCCTTCTTAGTTTGGCTTGTAGATTGTCAACCTTTGTCATTTGTCATGCTGCAGGAGCTCCTGGCGAAGGGCGAGATTTCCGCTGATGATCTGAAGGCTGCAATGGCAAGCGATGCCTGGAAGACAAAGGAGCAGATGGCCACGAGGGCAAAAAAGGAGAAGGAGGACAAAGGAAGGTCTTCTTCATCGAAAAAGGAAGAGTCTAGTGGCGACTTATCACCTACATCTCAAATGCGGAGAGTCGCTGAGAAGTATCCCGAGGCTTGCGGGTGCAGGGGTTAAACCGGGTCAGCCAATGAATTCTCCGTGTTTTTCAGGAAAGCAGGAGATGCCGTTCATGTGAAATCTAAGAGCAGCTGAATCGTGCGTTTTCTCCAAAAAAAGGAATAGATTCCGCCCCTTGCTAAAAGCAGCTCTTTGGGCCAAATTGACCCTATAGACCATCATTCAAACCCTAAACTCTGATGTACTGACAGGTGGCCGTTTCCAGACCTCACCTGAAAAGAGGAGGCGAAGCCGTCTCCACTGAGAAGGAGAAGAAGGTGGGCTACTGCAACCATCACACATCGCTTGAACAGTAGACAAGAACTTTCACAGAAGTTATGCTCCTGCCAGGCCAAGACGAGACCCAGGCAACCTGAGTCGACCACTGAGCCCTTGCCAAGCAAGAGCGCAGAAGACGCTCGAAGGCCATAGTTGTTGGCTTGACAGTAGCTATGCAGCTTTAGAGAAGTAAGTCTGGGCCGTGTAGCTTGAGAATCCACTTAAAGTCCTCATGCGCGAACAATGAATGGCCGTGCCTTGCTTCCCGCATCTTTCAGATTTTTGCAGCAATGAAAAAATGATGCGTCCTGACGCACTGCATACCTTGGCGTGTAGTCTGTGGGTGAGAGCCGCCAGTGTGTGCATCCAACTGCCAAAGCTGAGGCCTGATGACTCCTGTGTCATTATGTGAAGCCGGGACCTCACATGTCTGAGCGCATGACGTGTTTCTTCTCGTGTTGTTTTTGGAGTGCTTCTGATACCATGACACGCTAGTCAATTTTAACAGGATAATAGTTCTTACATATGCTGGTCTCATATTGTTGCTTTACCTTGCCCTGGCCTTGATGAGAGGAGAGCAGTTTCGAATCACTGGAAACAAGTAATGACTTATGTCAACCAGTTTGGGTTCCATGTCCGAGGCTGGTGCTGAAGGTTCAGATGCGTCCGCGCCTCAGCAGCGGATAAATACGAGCTAGGATATGTGACAGGCTGTTGCTGTGGCGGTGTAGAGCGGCGTGCTTTATGGTTCTGAAGACAAGCTAACAGTCATGGCAGAACTTCTTGCTGTCTTGCTAGTCGCGCAGCACCAAACTTTTATATCAGTATTTAATTTTCCCAAACATTCGCAAAGGTTCATTCCTTGTGAAGATGCGGGCATGTCCATGCCTCAGCGGCTGTCAAGGATGCCAAGCCATGTCAAGGGTTTTGCTGTGGTGCTGTAGAGTACCAAGCCTTGTGGTCCTGAAGAGAACCAAATAACGGGAACGCCAGCCGTGGTGCTGCAGAGTACCAAAGCGTCAGGGTGTTAGCTGTCACCAAATGTTCTTGCAGAGGCATGAGTTCTCATACTTTGCGGAGTGTGGTCAGGCCGGCTTCTTCATGATGTTTATCTGCAAAGAGTGGCTGTGGGGCGCTAAGTTTCCTGGGGCAGGTCAAGGAAATCAGTGTTTGCCATTTGGTGTGTCCGTCGTCGCCGTGTGCTCATTGGTAGTTCTGTTGCTGCACATGCTTCTCCTGAGTTTTTTTTTTCATTTCCTGGCCTGGGATTTATCTAAGGCTGGATGCTGCTGAAGCCACCTCAGCCGCATGCCTCGCTGACAGGCGGGCATGTTGGCGCCAAGCGTGTTTGCAAACAGTTGTCGTTCTGGGCGCCCGTGATCATCACGCAGGTTTTCGATTGCATAGCGTGCGTTGCTGTGTACTGATTGTTGCTGGCCATGGCTCCTAATACGAATAAGCCTGCAAAGGTAAAGCAGGAGAAGGCCCCCGGCGGCAGGGGTCGTGGCAGGGGGCGTGGCGGTGGGGTCGTAGCGGCGGTGATAGATGAGCAGGCCACTCCTGCTGCAGGGATCCTGGAAGGGTCCGTGAACAGCCAGCACCTGACGCGTGTCTTGGATGCCCTCACGGCGATCAAGGAGAACTCGGTTCTTTGTGATGTGAAGGACCAGGCACCGCTGGCCATCACCGCGTCGCAGGCATCCTCCACCATTGTGCCTTGTTTAAAAAAAGCAGTGGTCATGAGCAGAAGTTGTCTCAGCAATCATTTATGTCCGCGCTAACCCAGGCTCCGTACGACCCGCAGCTTCCCAAGCAAGCCCGGGAGGCCAAAGGTAGCTACACCTGCGGCGCCAACTTGCTCTGGATCGACCTGCTAGTATCCATCACCCCCCACGTGCCAGTGAACGAGGCGTCAATTCAGAAAGGCATGGACAAGTATTTTCCTTCGCCGGACATCAACTGGGAGCTGGGCAAGGTTGTGATTGGCATTCTCCCTGCGCAGCTGGATGTCTTAGCTGAAGGGAAGACTGCCCCCACGGGTCTCCGGCTGCCTTCGCCGGAGGAATACCTCCACTCCTTCGTCCTAAAGGTGGCGGACAGAGTCCGAGCAGCCGCGTCTATGGGTGAGCTCAAGTCCTGGGCCAATTTGATGCTGTCACTCCCAGTGACATTTCAGCTTGCGGCTGGCCAAGAAAAACTTTACTTTTCTGGAATCAGCATCCGTGAAAACTATGGGACAGGGTTCGACCTGCTGTTTCGCAGCACTGTCCAGCGCATATATGAATTGGCCATCTACAGAGATTCCCAGACCACCAAGATGACGTACAAAGAAGTGGCTCAGAAGTGGAAATCCTCCGTGACCTTCAGCACAATCACAGAAGAAGGTGATGCAAAGGATTGGTCCTCTTTTGTTGAGGTGGCTTTGTCCGTCTATGACAGGTGCCTGAAGCGTCCTGTGGTTCAGCGTCTCATCCTTGATGCGGAAGAGAAGTGGGGAAAGCAGACCCCCTGGGATTCCGTTTACAAGCTGGACACATTGGTGTCCAAGTGTGGCAAGCCATGTGGACGAGCTGACACAGCAGGCCCTTTGGATCGGATGGCATGGGTCATCAGGTGCGTCCATGATTTCCTTGACTCGGAGCAGCTCCAGCGAACTGCTCTAAGTGTTCGCAATCTTTCAGGCAAAGGGCTCTTTGGCCACAAGGGCACAGCCGATCTTTTGGTGTACAAGTATGGTCTTGGGGTCTACATCAAAGATTACCTTGAGGGGTCAGTGCTGGATGCGACACAGAAGGCTGAGATCCGCAAGGTGTTTCGGGACCACGAAACCTACAGGGCCGCCTTCGGCAGCCCTGGTTATATGGCTGAGCATGATTTGTCCTGGATGGGTGCGCTGTGCCAGCCGGCCAGATCGGCCTGCACTGTCCTCAAACAGCTGGTCTACACGACGGAGCACGATGCCAAGATCAAGCGCATGATGACTTCTGGAGCGCTCGTGGCGGACTGGCTGGATCACGAGGAGCTGCAGAGTTGTTGGCTCACTCCAATGCCGAGAAGACAAACGCTGCAGAGGAGGAAGTCAAGGTGGTTGCCTCGCCCCAGCAGCAGATGCAGGATTCCATTGTCAACACCTTGAAGAGGACTGCGGACGGCAGTGGGAATAATGACTCCACCGAGAGCCTGGTGAGGTCATTGCCCGAGACGGATCTCGTGCGTGTCATGGACTCCATATCCGAAGCCAAGAGGTCTGCGCGGCAATTCATCAAGCTCTTTGTGGATGAGGAGCGAACTGAGGGCGTGATGGCCGCGCTGAATGAGTCTGCGCTGTCCAGAATGGCGAAGTCTGAGTTCCTCATGGTGAATTATGATGTCAAAAACAGTGGGGAACCGGTGACCGCCCCGCACATCAGGGTGGCCCCTCTGAAGGTCGACTTGCTTAGGCGATGCATCCAACGCACCTGCAAGTTCATGGACAGTCCCGACGCCATGCCTGAGAACGTCCTGTTCACAGTGTTCGATGGAGGAAAGACGGGGAACCAGACTCAGATCATGAACCAGTTCGCTGCCAGCGACAAGTCCAGCATGCCCAAGACTGCCCGGAGCCTCCACCTCTGCTACGAGGAAAACTCTGTCGTTGCACGGATGGAGCGGTATCGGGCCAATACGTCTTTGCAGCAGCTGGAGATTGTGCATATCGCTGCTCGGCTATGTTTTTTGGTGAAGAATCAGCATCATGTTTGTACTCGTACAATTGAAGCGGCTGTCTGTATAGAGTAAAGGTTCACAACTGCGGGGTCGTTCCCCCTGGAACGAAGAAGCGCCGCAACAGGGCCTACTATGCCGGAACGTCCCACGGGCAAGTGATTCAGAACATTGTCCTGCCTTCAGATGCAGATGTCTGGACAGCCAGCTTCGCTTCGAAGAAGGCAGGGTTGAGCAGTTGAAGCGCATGCTGACGGCCATAAGTAATATTGCTTGTTACTATCAGGAGATGTACGACAAGCTGCGTGTGGACGTTGGAGGCCCAACGGCAGGGGGCGAGAATCTGACGAAGCGCACAGATGACTCGATAGAGCCATTTTGTTTCCACTCTATGCCTCTGAGTGTGTACAAGGAGCTCCTGGAGGTTGACCTGAGGCCTCAGGCAATTCTAGACTGGACAGCAGGCGATGGACAGCTGGCGTGGGGGGGGGCTCATTTGGCAGAGCTCTTGTCCAGCACGGCTGCTGGAGCAGCAGTGCCTGCAGCTACTGGTCGTGCTAGTGGCCGCGGCCGAGGGCGTGGCAGAGGGACCCCTGTGCCTGCATCGAATGCTTCCTCAGGCACAACTGGCACTGCTGCAAGGCCGCCTTGATGCAGAAGATTCAGGAGTTACGCCGCTCCCAGGGCAATGCAGCGGACAGTGGTGAGGCTGAGCCCCCCGCCGCCCAAGAGTGAGTACCAGCATTTGTGGGCTTTGACAGTGACAACCTGGGTTTTGACACTGACAAGTACAGTCTCAGTTTTGATCGCTGAAAGCGAAGGATTTCGTGATCTGCAGCTGCTACGCTGTTTTTGATAAGCGAAATCCTCAGATAAGAAATCACCACTGCAGTGTGCGCAGATCAGTTCATTGTTCCCTGCGTCGTCATCCTGAAAAGGGTTGGCTACTTTTGGTTTAGGGGCGGAGCTGAGTCTTGCCATGAGACATTTCCACCGTGCTCACAGATTTGAAATGCAGGCTGTGGCGTTGCTCATCTTTCTGCGTGTTGTTTATTAACCATGGTCTCTGCAAGGCAAGGTTGCAATTGCCACTGTCGCTCATTTTTTGCTGCCCACGCAGGTGGAGCCATCTACTTCTTGCCACCTACCCAGGCACGGTTTGCCTGCGCACGTCATTTTTTTAAAAGGGATTCAGGTACATGTTTGTTGTTACAAGTGCATGTGGCCGCCTGTGCAGCATTCTTTGGGCCTCCGCCTTACTGTGCTGGGAAGAAGCCTGATGGAGGACTGGGATGACTGTGTGGCCCCGGCTGCGAAGACTAAGAGGAAGTCGGAACAGCCAAGCAAGCAGGTGAATGCAGCTGGCAAGAAGACTGCCGGCGTGACTGAAACTGCTGCAAAGGCGACAGCCTCCAAGCGGAAGCTTCAGCAGTCCATCCTGTCTGACGCAGAAGCTGCCCAGTCAGACGCCAAAAGTTGTGCGCCGAAGGCAAAGGCTGGCAAGAAGCAATGCGAGGAGGGCGTGGCCGCCAAGTTGCCCAAAGGTCAGAGCGCCAAGACCGCAGGCTTGCAGTCAGAGAAGTCGCAGGACGAGAACCACAAGGACCTGCAAATTCCATCGCAGGGCTTCTTTGTGCCCATCACGCAGAAACCTATTCTGGTTGCTAGCGTGTGCACTGGGCAACCGAAGCTCAATCCCTGGCCCGACTCCATGTGCCTTATCGTCAGGTCTTCGCTTGCGATATTGATCCGGCTGTGCAAGTTTTCTTGGAAAGCAACCTGCCCATGGACAGATTTTACACCAACGTGCATGACCCGGCCTTTCAGCAGGCAGGCTACTCAGACATATTTGTAGCAGGGCCTCCGTGTCAGCCTTGGTCCCCTGAAGGAAGTCGACTTGGCAGTGAGGATTCCAGATCGACGGTCATGATTCCAATTTTGAATTACATAGATACGCGAAGACCGCTAGTTTTCCTTCTGGAACAAGTGCCGGGATGGTTGACTCACGCAAACTCAGACTACAAGACAGTGATGAAGTTCCTTCGCAATATGAAGACTGCAGAGGGCCAGGCAGCGTACACTATTCATGAAAGAAAGGTCAATGCAATGGCCTTTGGACTTCCTCAAAGAAGAATCCGGGTGTACGTAGTCGGGCTCTCGCGCAAGCTTGGCTACTCAGGTGGCTTCCCGGTGGTTGGCGAGCAGGCAAGGCCCACGCCAGATCTGTTCTCAGTTCTGGAAAAAGGAGCGCCGGACAAAATCCCGACGCTGGAAGACCTGCCACGGACTGTCCTTCAGACTGAGACCAGCAGCAAGAATATAGCTAAAGCTTTGGCTCACATTACGAAGAAGGATGGTGGCAACCCTTTTGCCAGCCTGAACATTGTGGATGTTGGGCAGGGCTTAGAAAATGCCGCTGTGACGAAGGGCTTCTTCCCCACTTTGACAGTGTCGAGATGCACCAGCCTCGCCTATTTCAATTTGCGTTTGAACCGATTTCACACAACAAGAGAGTTGTGTCGGAGCCAAGGCATGGACCCGAAATCTTTTAATCTGCAGAAGATCTCGGACAGGAATCTGCTGCACGTGTGCGGCAATGCCATGGCTGTGAATGTGGCGGCCTCGATTTTTGAGGCTGTTGTGCCATACCTTGTGGATTATCTGAAGCCACGATAGACAGCTCAGAGGTAGCTCAACCGACCGTGCCAGGGGAAGGCAGACAAAAAAGAGACATCGAGGTATGATTCATGGAGAGCAACTGCTTATAGCCATGGGGGGTCCTGTTTTTAAGGCCCCCGGAAATTCCAGACCCCCTTAAAAACAAGGGGGGACGTCCCCCCTTGTTTTTAAGGGGGTCCGGAAACCGTATGTTTTTAAACTTCCTCTTTCATTTGCTTTACCAGCGGTTAGGCAATAACAGAATAGAGTTTTAAAGGAAAGCAAGAGCAGGTGTCCAAATACATACACTTTCCAGACCCCCTTAAAAACAAGGGGGGACGTCCCCCCTTGTTTTTAAGGGGGTCCGGAAACCGTATGCGCTATATAAACAGGACCCCCCATGGCTATAAGCGGTTGCGCATTGCGTCCGTTTAAAAACAAAGGGGGACGTCCCCTGTTGTTTTGGCGCCCGGCGGGCTGGGCTATAACCGGTTGCGCATGTGACTGGTGTTCAGTGGCGCTGACAAGTACCTTTTTGTGACAAGGTTAGGGTGGCAAGAAGTCTGTGGCGCTGAAGAGTGCCAATGATTTGCAGTTCCTGTTTCGGACGTTCTGTGGAGTCTGTTCTTCTGGCTTTGAGTCGCTAGCCATCTCCAATCCCCCAGTGATGATTCCTGCCTTGCAGGTCAGTGAACTTCAAGGAGATCACAGCGCAAGACTCAGATAAATGCTTTGTGTCTCGGCCCTGTGCTGCCAGCCTGCTGTTTTGCAGAAGTTATTTTTCGTTTTGATGTAGTGCCAGGCTCGGATTGAGTAAACTCTTCTTAGCGCAGACATGTCTGTCAGAGGGACTAAGAGAAATGAAAACTTAAAGCAAATGATGAGGTTGCTCACGCACGCAGCTGCAGAAAGAAATAAATACGAAGGCTCTGCGCTTAAATATTTTCTTGGAGCTGAAGAGTTAGGAATTCATATCACACAAAGGGCCAGCATTCGCCTGCAGCTTGTGTCATGGAGATTGAAACAGAGGATGCTGCGCCGGCGCCGTCTGCTAGAAAATGTCAGCAGAGCAGCGATGTCCACTCTGCCTGATGGAGATACTGCAGATCGCATTGAGGCAGCTTTTCGGAGGCGGCAGAAGTCTTGGGAACAAGAGTTCCTGTTGGATCCCCAACAGCCACGTCTGGGCTCGTGGCTGCTGGGCCAACGTGTGTCATCGAGATGCTTCCAGCTCGTGTGCCTGGCCTGCCGTGCTTTTGAGGGGCAGAAGACGACTGATGATGTTCAATTGGCCAAGAACTCTAATCAGTCATGCGGTCATGCGGGCTGCGGGCCAAAGGCAGAGTTATCAGCTCCACCAAGGATCTTCGCAAGTGGCTGGCGCAAAAGCATGCTCAGGCCCCTGAGCATTTGCGCGCAACTTTGCATTTCCTCAGCTATGGAGACAAAGTACAGGTGGAGGGCGAGGAACTTAATCTGCAGAACGCTCCACCTGTTTCACAGGTTATGGATATATGGAAATCCATGCACAAAGGGCTCTCCTGCCGAGCTGTGGCCAATGATATGAAGGACATGGGAAGGCACAAAATGGAGCGGATTTCCAGCTGCCTTCATGAGGCTGTTCTGAACCATGAAAGAGAGAGATTACATCAGGCGCGCGTGATGGCCTTGCACCAAGATGCGCGCAAAGGAGTTCTGCAAATGCGCTACACTGCTTGCCTGGCAGACTGGAGCGTGGCTTCAGGACTTCTAGGCTTGGACCTGCAGCCAGGAACACTTTCCCAAGAGTTGGCTCAGGCTTCAAAGCGGATTCTTGAACGTTTCTGCACTAAAGATGGCTCTACAGACAATACGCTTTTCCAGCAATTGTCTGCAGCAGTTGAGCTGTTGGACGCTGATGGCGCCAGTGACGAGCAACGGTGCCTCCGTTTGTTGGGTCAAAACTTTTTCACAAATGTGAAAATCTGCATCAAGGATCCTACGCACTGCGCACGCAGATTGGCCACTTCCCCTTGGGCAGCAGACCCGACCCTCAGTCAAGTCCATGCGATGTACATTTCTGGGCCTGATAGCATGACCAATTTGATTCAGCACAGTCCAGATCTTCGTACCATGTTCCAGGCCAACAATGGCAAGCTCGATATAGATGAGCTCCCCTTGGCTGCAGGCACGCTTTCCAAAATGAAAGCTATGGACTATGCTGCACATCGTTTCGAAAGCTCCTGCAAACCGCTCTGTCGATTCGTACTGCTGTTTGATTCCATCTGGCTGACGGCCATTGACATCAGCATCAAGAGAAGCGGATCTGCTCCTGGGCAGCGAGCGACGCAGTTCTTGCAGGATGCAAGCGAGGAGAGTCTTCTACAACTCGCGATGCTAGCAGATGCAAGTCTGCAGAATATGGAGTTGGTTCGCTTTTATGATGCAGAGTCTTGGCTGTTGCTTTGTCAAAAAGTTGGTGTGATTGAACTAATGAAATCGCTCATGGGTGAAAACATTCATCAGGTAGTCCAATCTTATCATTTGTTCTCAGACAATTGCATTTTGCAGTAGCCAAGGAAATGTATGACCCCGCTTTGACGGTGGAGGCTCTGGGAAGCTTTCTGCACAACATAGATGTTCTCTTCCTTCATGAAGATGTACTCAGTCAAGGACACACAGAGCTCATGCTACAACATCTGCGCAAGGAGCGTGTTGCACGCTTGCCCACTGGTTTGAAAACTCTTGGTGGCCAAGGGAAAGTGACCAACCAGATGATTAAGAACTGTTTGGACAGAATGGCCGCATGGGTGGTTCTTGCTACCAAGCGCCTAGAAGCAGAATTCCCCGAGCACCAGACCCTTCAAGCTTTTCGTGTCTTCGATTTGAGTTATCAGAGATTTCAAGAATCCGAGCAAGCAGACCGTCACTCGGTGCGTGTGCAAGAACTGTCAAGATTGGCGCAGGTGTTTGGTGTGAATGCAGATGAGCTGCGCAATCAGTTCAACATATGCTTCTACAATGCTCAGAACTTTCTGCACTCCGGGAAAGCCAAGTCCAACTTGGAGGCATGGATCATGATCCGCAAGAAGTTCGAG